AAATAATTTCTGCTTTGCCTAGCCAGTGGTATAGACAATTCCTTGTGACCAATCTCTTAATTTATGCCCACTACTAGTTCTGTTCCACAAATTGGATATTGACTGACATTAATATGAGCTTCAGGAGCACTTTTTAAAAGGAATCATCTTAAGAATTAATTTTTGAGTTTTTCCTGGATTTTTTTGAATTTGATGTTTACTCATCTGATTAGAATTAAATGTCACAATGACTACAGTATATGATGAAAAGATCATGGTAGCCCAAGGTATGATTTGGCAATTGAGGTACTCAAAATATTGCCATTGAAAATTTCTAATCAATCTTAAATACAATAAAGTTGTAGAATATTGTATATTTCTTCATTATAATTATAAACTTCAAATATGTAGAAATACAGAATAGAATTGCTTATTCCTCAATATTCAAGAGGAAATGACAAAAGAAAAGTTTAAGCCCATGGATTGAATTTGAAGCTGAAGTTTCATGTTGATAACCTATAAGCACTTTCATTTTCTATTAAAATAATCTTATCTTCTGCTGTCATAGGGCCAATTTAGTTCAACCAAAACAAATCTCATCTTTTAAGTTTCCAATTACATACATAATTTTCTTAAAGAAAAGCACTGACTGGAAATATACAGATAATAAATCTGAACTGGAGACACAACAACAAATCCAAGTGAAGCTGACGATATTAAACATCTGAATTGTTCTGTGTTCTTTCTAGTCAATACAGGCCCCTGAATTCTGCCTAAAGATTTTACTCTCCCTTTGCTTTGGGAATTTATGATACCATCCTGTGTGGCAGTTGTCTCTGATTCTTTTCAAGATTCACTACCCTAAGATCTCATGCTTCTAAGCCAAGAATATCACTCTAGTCCTAGTAGGTGTCAATAAGTAAGGCACAGTGTGTAAATCACAAGTCTTCTAGCTCTGTGAAATGTCTATTTTTATGGACTATGTTGACGTAACCCAATAAAGGTGACAGATGACATGCTGTTTCAAAGGTGCTTTCTTCCACATTTGGGTAAACTACTCAGGCTTTGCTATTTTTTGTTTGTGCTATTTGTGGTCCCCTAAAATCTGCATGTTAGAACCTACTCATCAATAAGATTACACTAAAGGGTGGACTTTGGAGGAAAGTGGTTAAGTGAAGTCCTTATGAATGTAACTGTCAATTGTAAAAATGTTCTCAGAGATTTGCCTTCCACCATGTAAAGATGTGTGAAGAACCTACCAAGTATGTGCCAGAATAAAAGAAAATTAACACTAGGACCCCATGTTACTTTACCTTGATATTATACTTCCTACTTTGAGTTCATGACTATAAATTCTTCTGCTTATGGTTTCCAAATAAATTAAGAAAATAAATGTACTAAATGATCCACAAACATCTAATGTCTATTGACTTTCAGGTCACACCATCTACAGCAAATCAATGTTGCAATGCAGCAGGAATAATATTTATGGAGTCAACAGATGACAATACTATATATAAGGAACTTTTTGGAGACTCTTTATAGATGAATCACATTGAACATTATTGTAATTTGGAAGGAAAAACTGTCATCCTTTTCAGGTAAGTATTGTTGGAATTGTTAGTTGGCCTTCCTACTAAAGACTCAACAGGCCACTTGACGTAAACTAGCCATTTCATGCCATAAGTTTATAACTGTATAGGAGCAATCCATTATCAAATGCAAATTATATACACCAGATTTTAACAACTCCAAAAGCACAAATAACCTCCACGAAAAATAAAACAAACTTCACAGTCAGGACCATTATGCTTTAGGATATAGTCCATTAACTAAAGAACTAAATTCTGGTATGGTTTTGAAATGGTTCTGTATGATGTGTAAACACAAATGAGGTGGACAACTACAATATTATAGCCTCTTCCTGCAACCTCCCCCCTGAAGGTTATAGCAAACTTAATACTCTCGATGAGACTAACATTTAGAGGTGATCTTGACTATCCATTTTGGTCAAAAGTTAAAGTCCCTGGAGGCATGATTCTATCTGAATTTGTGTGTTACAGCTGATGTTTTAGATGGACAATATGTGATTCAGAAAGTGTACTATGCTAAGGAGTTTGAGGAACAAATATCTGGCTAAAATTCTCTAGTTAACGTAAATCTAATAGTAAAATGGTCAGACAAGAATATGGAACAGGTCCTAGATTAAGTAATAAAAACCAAAGCCTTGAACTGACAATTCATACCCACTAGATTAAAATGACAAGTCAGAAATAAGAAATATTAGAGAAAATGGATAACAATTAGAGTATATCCACTTCTGGTTAGAACATCAAATGTTTTGTAACACAGGTTGGAAGTGCCTCAAAATGTTACACAGAATAACTGTATGACTCAAGCCATCTATCTCCATGCATTACAATGAAAGAAATTAAAACTTCAAGAATGATAAAATTCATGTGTGAATGTTACTAGCAGTATCATACTTGGAATAAAAACAGAAATAATCCACAAGTCCATCAATACAAACTGAATGAAAAAATACAATGTCAGGATGGAGGCAAAGTACACTGACACATAAAAAGGATCAGATAAAACTACTACATGAGCAAAGGGCTGATTTGAAGTTTTAAAATGCAACATTCTAATCAATTTCATTAATATGTAAAGGAAGAAATATCACAGGAACATATCAACTAATGAAGTAAAATCACTGGACAAAATCCTATAGTCATATTACAACTTTATAAAACCTAGAAATATTCAGAAACTGTCTCAACAAAATCAGTTGCAGATAGTGTCATCATTCAAGATACTACCAGAATCTCTAGCCATCATAACAGGACAAAGAAAAGAAGTGATAAAGGTCAAATATAAAGCAAAAAAAAAGACACATTATCTATTTGAAAACAATGACTTTCAAGTTTAAAAAAATGAAGGAATCTAGGAAGCTCCTAACCTCACAAAGACTTTAAGTGCCATGGTACAGGGATACACAGGGGCCCCCAACCAGTCAGAGGAGACTGGGATAAGGTTGGGGAAATACTGTGGGAGTGATTGACCAGAAAGGGGCTGTGACCTATTGCTCATGATATAAAGAGAACAAGTTAAAAAATTAAATTTAAATTTAACAAATTCATAGACACAACAATGATACATTTATAACAGATGAAAAATCCTTGCATAGTTGTATATAAATCTAACAGAACATACACAGGAACTATATATTGAAATCCACAAAATGCTGATAAAGCATCCAGGTTATTTTTTAAAAATATGTGTTTGTGAATTGGAATATTATAAAGGCTAATCCTAAGTGGTCATCTCTAAACAATTGTATCTATAACCAACACACTATATGTGTCTATCTCTATATATATTATGAAAATACTATACATATATATTATATAAAATATACTTTTAAATATGTAACAATAACAGTTATAGAAGACGAGGTTTTGAATCAGAAATAGTTTGAGGTAGTGGAGTTGGACAAGGAAAGGGTGGGGTGGTTGATGCAAATAAAGTGTATTGATGTATGAAATTCTCAGAAAACTTTTTAAAATATATTTAAAGGTCTAGATGTTGTTCTTGTTAGTTTTTGTCAATTTCACACAAACTGGAGACACCTAGAAAGAGAGAATCTCAATTGAGAAAATGTCTCCATTAGATTGGTCTGTATACAAGTCTCTGGGGCATTTTCTTGACTAAGAAGGTCCAGTCCACTGTGAGTGGCGTCACCCTTGAGCAGGTGGTCCTGGGTTGTATAGAAAAGCAAGCTAGTAAGCAGAAGTTGTTCACAGTCTCTGCTTCAGATTCTGCTGATTTTTGCCCTGAGTCCCTACCCTTAGTTTCTTCAGTTGAGGCATTGACCTAAGAGTTTTAAACTGAAATAAACACTTTCTTCTCCTAAGTTGTTATTTATTAGTGTTTTATCATCACAGAGAATCAATAGGACAGATGTACACTCTCTCCAACCTGATGTACAATTTACTAGGATCCCAAACTCCAGCAGATATTTTCATAGAATATGATGCTACTTATTTGAAAACTTTTATCACGGGGCAAAGAAACTGTAACAAATAAGATAATTATGAAAGACAAATTTAGGACAATCACTGAACATAATTTTGTGCCCTTTTTCTTTCCTTTAAATTTTGAGACAAAGTTTCACTCAGTTAACTAGGCTGGCCTTTAACTTGCTTTGTAATCCAGTCTGACTTTGAACTCATAACTTCTGCTTCAGCCTACCAAGCAGCTATAATTATAAGCTTGCTCCACTGTACCCAGTTGTGACGCCCACAGCAATCAAAACAACATGGTATTTTGGAATGCTAAAAAAATTTTGATTAAGTAAATTAAAGTGAAAAGAACAGAACAACATAAAATGCATACTTCCCTATTTTTACAGAAGTAAAAATTTTAACGAAGAAAATTTAGCCCTTTAAGCAATGGTATTTTGATAACTATATATTCATAGGAGAATAAAAGTTTGTTAAACCATACACGAAAGGCCTTATACTTCAAACTATAAAAACATAATGATATAAAGCACCAGGGTATAAAAAGTCTTCAGAATTTGTTAGTAAATTTTTCTTAGCTATTACACAAAATGATGGTATAGGATGAAACTAAATAGAATAACAAAATTTGACCTCATGAAAATTCAAAACTCTGTTTTATGAAAGAGGACGTTAAGAAGATATAAAGAAAGGCAAAGCTTTGAAGAAAAATGCCTGAAAGCTACAAATCTAAGAAATTTGTATTTGATATATATTAAAGAAAACTCTTAAAGCACAATTTTAAGAAAACAATGTAAACAGAAAATGGAGAAAGGAGATGAACAGTTTATTTTTTCAAAATGGAACTGTGAAACACACTTGCACACACACACACACACACACATTGGGGAGAGAAGAAGAGAAAGGGGAGGAGGAGGGAAGAGGAGGTAAAGGAGAGAAAGGGGCATTACTACAAAGGGAAATACAACTTAAAACTACAATGGGTTATAATATACTTACTAGGCTGCATAACAAAAGTATTTGCAACAGCAAATGTTACAGGGAGGCAGAATAAGTGGATCTTCCATACATTAATTCTCTTTGTTAAATATCAATTGTTCTGCAAAGATATTTGACAGATTTTAGCAGAACTAAAAGTACATATACTAATCCTAGAAACTCTTCTATGTTGGTGCCATAGAAAAATCAAACTATAGCCATAAGAAACTTGTAACTAAATACTCACTGCCCTTTAGCTCTAATATCTCCCCCCAAAACAGAACAGAAACAACTCAAATTCTTTAGTGGATTAATAGGTAAGTAGATAAACAAGGTTTGTTATAGCCCTGTCCTGGTGTCATGTTTAGTAATAAATTGAACCATCTATCGCTACAGAAAACTAAACATATAAGTTTCAAAGGAACTAGCTAAGTGAAAATGCCCCATCAAAAAAGGGTATATATCATTTCATTCTATTTGTATAGTGTACTCAACACAAAAATAGATGGTAATGTGGAAAAAGCATATGAAACATCATATTGCTGTAGACTAGGGTGGGTTCAGATGTAATGAGAGCTTTTGTGCTGATGAAAGATTTTCAAATAGATGGTGATGTTTGAACATATGAATGCATGTGATAAAATTCACACACGAGTACTTGCCAAAACTGATGAAATATAAATAAGTTCTGCAGTCTAGTTCATTGTATTATATCACTTTAAACTTCCTACTTTTGATAATATACTATAGTTTCTTAAGATCTTATCCTTAGGGAAAACTTGGTGAAATGTACACAAAGAATCAGTATTTTTTTTCAATTTCTTGTAAAACAAAAATATATTTGCAAATAAAAAGTTTTTTTAAATTTCTTGATGAGGTTCATTAAGGCTCAACTGGCTGGAATCTAATAAAAGATAGCGTGTCCAAGATGTTTCATACATAATATAGAGAGAGGAAATCATTTCATCTCCAATCATGCTGTTGATTGTAATGAGTGTGATCCAAAGTTAAGAAATGGGTTTCTAATTTGCTTTTGTTTGTTGTAAATATCACTCTCAGGCTGAAGAAAGTTCAACTGCAGAAACTTCAGAAGCATCTCAAGCAGCCATTGAACTGAATCTGCCATCAGACCCAGCTCTCATGTGAGCAGTTCTGGGTGTTTTATGTTAAGTCAAGCCCAACATTGAGTTCTCTGACTTACCCACAGAAGTAAGTACTTCAGCCTCCTTTCAGGCCAAAGCCAACACACAGAAGCCATCCAGAAAAGGAATACTTGAACACTACCGGTAAGAATGGGAAACAGCACAGTCACTTTTGAAAACAAAATTCATTTTCCTCAAAAATGTAAAACAAAAGTATATGAGCGTATATCCAAATAATTGAAACCAGTATTTGATATATCAATATTTTCATGCTAATTTCATGATTAGTCACAAACAGTCAAGATATGAAAGCAGTAAGTCTACAAATAGAAAAATGAATAAAAATGTGCCATACATACACAAGGAAATACCGTGTAATATTGGAATGAAGTATATTACATGCAATAAAATGGGTAGGAATGAAAGACAATATACTAAATAAAATACACTAGATTTTTAAAAAGTCCCATAATCTCACATAAATGAAATTTAAAAAATATTGATTTCTTAAAAACAGAGAAAATGTCTGCCAGAGACTAGGGGCAGGATAGATAGAAAAAATGAAATGGTAATTAAATTGTACAAAATTTTCAGGCCTGGTTATGCATGCCTTTAATAGTAACACTCAGGAAGGCGGATCTCTGAGTTTGAGGCCAGGTTTTCTACAGAGAAAGTTCCAGAACAGCTAGGGCTACAAGGCCAAACCCTGTCTAAAACTTAAAAAACAAATAGTAAAACATTAAACAAGAAAATGTTATAACAATGAACTTCATTACATGGTGATCATAGTAAATAACAACATATATGACAAGATTTCTAAAAGAACAAATCTTTAATAATTTTACTATAGAAAAGTAAATCTGTGATCGAAGATCATATGGTACTTCATAAACATACACCACTATTTGTCAATTTAAAAATGTTTTAACAGCGTCCACATTTATAACTATATTCTGCTGTTGTGATCTAAGTATGTATTTTCACAGCACTCCTGGTTAATAAGTAGGCAAAATGTGTGAAGTCAGAAAAAGTCTCTTTATTCTATGTTGTAATGTCTCTCCTTTTGGTTCCCTTACCTCCTTTTCAATTACTTGTACATTTCAAAATGAAGACCTTCCTGGTTTGTGAAAAAAAAAAAACACTACCAAGTGAACGAAAAACTCAGCCTATAAACTCATTAGCTAATTTTTCACTAGCTTAACCTTTTGTCATGATTAGAATCACTTGTGTTTTAAGAAAGGAGAACTTTGAGAGACCATAAACAACCTCTGGATTAACTTATTCATAGTGACATTTCAGGTTAAAGGCAAAGAGAAACACTTCCAGTTCAAAGTGTTGTCTTTTTTTTCTTTCCCAGCCTCAGAATAATGTGCCTAGGCAGTTGCCAATTTGTAAGTCTAACTCTAGTGGTATATTATAATTTTATACCACTAGAAACTTCAGGCAAGTATTATTTTTCCAATCTTGAACAATAAGTTTGACCAAGTGGAAAATGTCTCATGCTCTAGTGAATAATTTCTTTCTCAGCCTTCTAGGACACACATTCACAGCTGGAGAAAGTAAGACATCAGCACAGAGTCAGCCAACAGAAACCTCTCCCTCCCCCTAGGGTTCTACAATTCAGCAAACATCTAGTCCCTACTAAGCTCCAACTCTGTGTTAAAGTCTGCTGCTAGGACACATGGATGATTAATTTCCTTCTTCCCTCGTCTAGCCTCAGAAGCCACTTGAATAACCGATCTTTCTTCTCATTAAACTTCCTGGGTGGAGTGGGGGAAGGGGAAAATGTCTGGTGGCGAAAACTCCACCCAGAACTTTTAAGTCTTCTGAGGACATCTTTTGTCAAAACCCCACCAAAACTGTTTCTAAGGAGGGTCTGTCCAGAGAGTGCTGCTGATTTCAGCCCCTCTTGAGGTTCCCAGAGCTTTGCAGTTTCTTAGCCTGCCTGGATTTCTTATACTGGCCCGAGTATCAGTCACTTTGGAACAACTTTGCTATAGGAAAAAAAGCCCCACCCATACTTGTGGTCAGAGAGATTAGGCAGAGCTCTCTCAATAGCAGACAGTATGGTGCCGCTTGGCAACCATAATATACACATAGTGCCATCCTGTGAGTCATTCTCATGTAGTCTACAGCTGTTAGTTTCATTTTGTTACTGGAAAAAACCCAGTAGTACAATAAAGCATTTATCCTAAATTTTTACAGAAAGAAAATAAACTTCATTTGGAGATTTTTTTTTAAAGGGGGGAATTTACTGTCTTCAACACTTCACTCTGGGGGAAATTAAATATGTACAAAATACACTGATTTCTTCATCTCAGGAGAAGGAAAATGTTAGTGTAAATAGGTTTCATTTACATTTTCCTAATAAATACATTAAACATATTTTACTAAGGCTTACAATCTCACATAAAATCACATGTAATTTTACATATTGTGGATAATTTTACGTATAGAAGAATCAAATTCCACATGTGAAATTAGCAGACTTTAAAAAGAACACGTTTTTTAAAAACCACAGAAGGAATTCCTTCTAAAAAAGACAGCAAAATGTTTGGAACGCCTTCTGAAAATGCTTCCCATGTTCTCAAATTAAAAATACATCCAAAGAAATGTTCATCGTAAGCTGAGAATCAGCCCCATTGAGACTCGACAGCTGTGCTAAGTTCTAGGGCTTGATGAAAATCCTTTTGTGCTATTTGAAGCCATCACATCCCACCGGAAAATGCATGCATGGAAAATGTCCCAATCCGAGAAAACATGACAAGTCTCATCTTATGAAAAGATTAAGGCACTTAGATGCATTTACTACTTGAATGCTGCTTTAATTTGGTTGACACAAACCATGGGTTTAAAATTGTAAGTTTATTTTCTCCCGTTGGCTCTCTCTAACAAAAATGCATTTAATGAACCACAATCTCAATTTTAACATAGAATTGTTAGGAGCAATGTTTAATACAAATCTGGACCCCTGGTTTTTGTCAGTGGCATGTTAAATTGTAGAGAAAGGAGCTTTCTATCTAGACAGCCACATTTCCTCTCAGAAAGCATGCAGCAGTTTCAGCGAACATTTTAACCACTTAAACTTATAAATAGATATTACCTCACTGAAGTCTCCATTCTTCATAACAATATATCCCCCCAAAGGTAAGATATTAGCAGACTCAAAATTGAGTTTTCAGTGGAAGCAGCAGAAATTCACACTGTCGTTTTCAATTCACAGAGGTTTTTAGTTCTATTTTTGAATGTATGAAGAGAAAGCCAAGAACCTTACCCTTTCTACCCAGATATCCTGTAGTGAACTGCAGGCTTTTACAGCTAGAAGAGGAAGTAACGTAGTTTATTCAGCAAAACAGGAAAAAAAACAAAATCATTTACCTCTAATGGGAGGTAGAACTGTCCGTCAGCATCACCCAGTTGTTTGGGAAAGCCTTTGCCTCAGAGGATATTGTGGGCAAAGTAAATTCAAATTTTGGCTTTGTTAAATTCAGAGTTTCCATGATTTGTACACTTCTTCAATCAGGAACAGAGTATCTGACTTTAATTTGCCATGTATTACAGTTGTTGTCTCAGTCTATTCTGAACATTTAAATTGTGGGCTATGCAAAAAGCTAGATTAACTGTTAAAATTTTATTTTACCATTGAAAATTTAATTGTTACATATATAAAATTCTAATTGCATTTTTACAGAAAGCAGTATCAATTTTATATTGATCCCCCATTTTTCCATCATAGTTTATTCCTTACCATGACTTCTTTCTGCTGCAATCTTCCAGCATCTATTTCTTAGAGAAATCCATTCCCAGTACTCAGAAGGCTTCTAGATAGCTAACTACTCCACAGTTTGCTAAGCTTATAAAAGATAACTGTACTTCCAGATATCATTACATCAAATGACTACAATGGCTAATGTTTCTATCTAAAGACATAAAACGTCATGTGCCTTTGCTATAGTACTTCGAAAGAGAATGTGTCAAGAATGCACTGAGCTTCCTGCTATGCACACGCCCATCTTACTCTATCATCATCTTTCGTCTTCCTTTTTCCCCCTTTTCTATGTGCATGCAGGCATACGTCTGAGTCACATATGACTTTCAGGCTGGCTATATGAGGTCAATATTTCCAAATTAGAATGTAACTACATTTTACCATATTGTCTGCTTTAGAAATTAAAGAATGGTAATAATAAGAACTTCTTTGAGAATTTGGACAAATCTTATTGGGCCGTGCAAATGGAATAATTTGAAATCACCAAAAAGATAGTGCTTAGTAAGGTCACGAAGAACAGATGACTTAATATGTGATTTGTGGTCTTCTTTGAGGTTAAGAAGTGTGTCTTCATATACTTAAACAATACTAACATATTAAGTTCTTAAAATTATATTGTAAAGACATTGTTAGGGTAGCTTTAAGGGTGGCTGGAAAAAAGGATGAAATGCTTGAAAAGCATCACAATTTCTCAGAGTGGAGTGATAAGGATCTTTAGGATTTCATAATCTTATGGCTTCACTGAAATGGCTAAGTAGTAGTTACCTACAGACTTTCATTTAAAACATGAAGTAAAGCAAAGATTTGAAACTGAAAGTTCCTCCCCAGTGACCCTGATTTTACTATTTTAAGGTTTCAGTATCTATGATACTATGGGGATCCCTGGAAACGTATCTTATTCTGGACCTTTCTCTTTTGCATAGAGTAGTTTCTATTTCCTTATATTATAGCAGAAAAAAGTAAATGAGTATGAGGTTGCTATGAGGCATGAAGCCTCAAGAGGAAAAAAATTAAGTAATTATCCAAAAAAGTAAAGCCCAGGATTAGTACCTGGATATTTTAGATTCTTTCTTATTGCTATGATAAAATACCTCACAAAAGCAACTTATGGGAGAAAGTTTTTGTTTTGTTTTGTCCTTCATCATAATTCAATGTCCAATGCTGTAAGGTAAGGAAATCAAAGCGACATAAGTCAGAAGTGACTGGTTATATTATCTCCAAAATCAGCAATGGACGTGTACCTGGCTCTGCACCTTTTCACCATGCTAAGCAAATTAAGACTGTTATCCTTTCAATCAAATGAACTCAGGGGCTCAAAAGATAGGCAGAATGAAGCTAGATTCCTGAGCAAAATGCAACTCAAATTACACCTCAGATTACCAGTACTTGATAGATAAGAGTCTTTGTTCTCCTTGAAACCTTATGAACCAGGCACCCCGCTTGCTACATCTCATAACAGTTTTTTTTTTCTTTCGAACTCCAATCAGAGGAGCTCGTTAAACTCTATCTACAACATTCAAGTGTTTTGCTAACCAAAACTTTCAAACTCTTCCATGACCCAGCCACAAACAAATTTCAAAGACCCAAGAATTATTACAAGACCATTGTTATGGTCCACAGGATTTACCACTCAGTAGGGCTATTGATTAGTTTTCTCCTAAGGCAGTTTGAATAGCACCTTTCGATATTGTGAGAGAGGGTAATTGGAGAAGAAGCTCTCTGGTCAGTTCCAACACAAGAACTTCCAATTTTTGTGTTCACAGTTTGAGGTATCTTCAGCAACATGGTCTTAACCTTCATGTTCAAGGAAGCAACCAAGAGCAATGGAAATAACTGATATTGTTTTTAGGTTATCTCTTGGACTTCACTGACCAACAACCTGATGGAGGTTTTCCAATGCCTGGTACTGAGGTTTTTAGTAGGTAGTCTATGGAGTGAACATTATCATCCCAAGTGATATAACTTCGTTTAAATAGTGTGTGTGTGTGTGTGTGTGTGTGTTGCTTCTATGTGTCTGTGTGTGTATTTTAAGTAAACACAAAAAATGCATTCCTATGGCTTCTTCAAATGTTCTTAGTGTTATTTATCCCTTCTTACCTCTTCCATTCCCTCTCCCCAATTAAGGTTTCTTCTGTTTTTGCCTGTTTTTCTCTTCATAGTACCTAATATCATCCTCTTTAGACATCCTCTCTCCATTCCACAATGGTTCGTTTTTACTTTCCTGGTTTCTGAGGAAACCTAAAAAGTTGGAGCTAGGATCTATAAATAGGAGAGACCGTGTGTTATTTGTCTCTTGAGTCTGGTTATCTCACTCAGTATAATTGTTCCTTTTTTCATTCATTTACTTAGAAATTTCATGTCTTCATTTTTCTTTACAGCTAAATATAATTTTATTATGCAAGAAGAGGGGCAACCTCGTTGGTGGGATTGCAAACTGGTACAACCACCTAGCAAATGTTAACAACTTAAATGTCCTTCAACTGATAAACAGTTATAAATTTTATTGCAATATATTAATTATATATACTAAACGATTTCATAAATGAATCTACATATAAGTATGACACATGCTTTAACCATATCCTCACCACTCTATCCCCCCAAACTACGATTTGTTTTTCCTCCCAATCTTCATTCCAGTTGTGTGTCACATATCTTTAGCTTTATCTCTATATATGCATGCTTACCACTGCCTATAGAAAATTTGAGATCTAGGGATGAAAGTAGGAAAGTAATTCCATTAACAGTATCTTAACAATAAATAAATCAACTCAGAGTATGCTTAAATCTGGAAATATGCAAACCTTGAATATGGTGTCATAGCTTATATTCAAATGTGAGTTCATATATGCACTTGCCCTCATTATCCACAAAACACGATTTCCTTATAGTCAGCTATAATCTCTGAGTATTAGTCTTCTTTACAGTCTTCTTGCCTCATCTTCCACAATTATCCCTGAGCATTAGGAAGAGAGGACATGATATAGATATCCCCTTTAAGGCTGAGCATTTCACTCTCTTATTCTATGAATCTTGAACAGTTCTGGGTCTCTGGGTTTACTGTCATTTATTGCAAGGAAAAGTTTCTCTAATGAAAATTGAGAGATACACTAACTTATTAATATAAAATAAGTAATTAATAGTCCACTTAATACTGTGCTCATTTAGCAGAATAATAGGAGAGGTTTTCTCCTATCATCTAAATTTTGTTCAGCCACAGTTTTCTGGCCACAATAAACTTGCCAGATTGTGTTTGGTTACTTCCATGATATCCATAGCACTATTACAGCAGTGCTAATATCTTGCCAGGACAGGCACTACTATAATTATCCAAATTTACAGTTCTGTAAGATTGATGATTACATCCGTCCTTTGGTAGCCTGAATGTCACCTATCAAAAATACAAAAGTTTTCCAGCTCCTGATGTAGTACCAGCTTGATCTCTCCATGTACTATGACTCATGTATATGGAGTATTGATCAATAGGATTTTACAATCAAATTATAGAGGGCAACCAATAACACTGACAATAGTCTGTAATGTTTAGAAGTCTATGAGAACTCAGTGGCCAACACTACAAAAGAGGTTCCTCATTCTTAATGCTGGGGTTTTCTTTTGTTAGCTTGTAGTCTAGTAGGGACATTGTTGCTCTGTTTTAGGGGAATTGCACTTATAAACGTCTATGTATATATTTTAGGAAGATTCTACAGTAGTAGGATTTCACATAACTTTTTCAAAGGGTCACTGGTGCTATTTATTCCTCCCAGTATTCATTCCTCTATCCTGTTCTCCCATCCTCAACTCATACTTAATTGTTCCTCTGTTCCTGTCCCATTATTCCCCTTAATCTTTTAAGTACTGAGTTCTTTCTCTCTTCCCTTGTAAAGCACTTTTATGGCCCTTTAGTAATTTTTTTTTTACCTCTAAGTGTACTCCAAATGAAATGCACATATTTGAAGATTCAAGTCTAACTTCCACAAACAAGAGAAAAGCATGGCATTTCTCTTTTATGGTCTGGGTTACCTCATTCAAAACAATTGTTTTCTGTTTCATCCAGTTACCAGAGAATTTGATGGTATTTTTTTTCGAAAATTTGAGTAATATTCCATTCTGTAAATATATCATATCTTTATTATCTATCAGCTAAGACACATTTAGGCTGCTTCCGTTTCCTAGCTATCATGAACATAATAGTAATGAGCTTGTGACTAAAAAATAAACTCTTTTGGGTATATTCCAAGAGTGATATAGATGGATTGAGTAGCATATCTATCTTTAGCCTTTTGAGGAACCTCTACACTGTATTTCATAGTAACTGCAACGGGTTTTACTCCTACAAGAAGGAAATAAGTGTTCCGCTTTACCCAAACTCATGCCAGCATTTGTCATCTTTTTTTTTTTAATCTTAGCCACTCAGTATGAGGTGAGATGAAATCTTAAGGTAGGTTTAATTTGCATTTTATTGATTGCAAAAGTTGTTGAACATTTTTTTAAATGTGTCGCAGCCATTTGTGTTTCATCTTTTGAGAATTCTGTTTAGTTTTATGTTGCATTATGGCCCCTTAGTAATTTTTTATCTCTAGGGGTATTCAAAATTAAACACTCATATCTGAAGATTCAAAGCTAACTTTGACAAACTAAAGAAAAAATGTGACGTTTGTCTTTTGGGGTCTGGATTACTTCACTCAGAATCATTTGTTTTCTTGGTGTTTAGATTTTTGAGTTCATTGTATATTCTAGTAACGGAACTTCTGTCAAATGCACTGCTGATAACTTTTTTCTCATTCTGTAAATTGCCTCTTCACTTGAATAATGATGTCCTTTGTTGTACAGAACCATTTTAGCTTCCTGAGGCCACATTTTTTAATTGTTAAGCCTAATACCTTAATGGTATACTGTTAAGAAAGTACTTTCCAGGGGCAGGGAGACTGGGAGAAGGGAAGGGAGGGGAGGCTGCCATCAGGATGTATTATACCAGAAAATAATCATAATTATATATACATCAAAGTAGGGGAATAACAGGAAGTTCTATCCT